AAAAAAAAAAAAAAAAAAAAAAAGAAAAAAAGGGAAGAAACAAGAAAACGGTTACTCGGAAATATAACATAACCGGAACTTCCGGAAGACTAGCTTTTTTTTTTTCACGTATACATAATACATCCTCATATACACACGATACATCTCAGATACGCATGCACGCAATGTACACATACATGTACTCCTTTCCCTCGATACATAACACGTTCACGCTATATAATAACATATACATATACACGCAGTAATATTTTAAAAAAAGCTTGTGTTTACGCGCGCGAGCGTTCGGATATGAGAAGAAAAGAGGGCTGGAATTTCGAAGGGGAAGCGATACCACGCTCTCGCGACAATACCGGGCGAAAATTAAAGAGGAAAGTCGGGATGAGAGAGAGAGAGTTTCGAAAAAGAGGTTTAGTTATTCACTGATCGAGCAACAGAGAGGACGAACGACATAAAGAGATCAAGCATTTTCTTCAAAGAGAATCGACACCTTGGATCGAAAACGGTCTATGCACGTGCATCCCGGAAATAATGTCTCGACACGTATTCCTCATTCCTTCGACCGACGTTTGTTGTAATACACACATTCGACGCCGCCGTATGCATTCACACGTGCTAACTTACACTTATATATATATATATATATATTTATATATGTCCATACACCACATCTATAATACCATTCAAATAGCATATACATGTAGGGAGAGACACAGACACCGCAATCGTAATACACACGCGTATATACTATACACACACAGACATACAGTTACACATATACGAATACACGCAGGTTAATTAAAGACTAATCGAACGACACAGACCTGAAACCTGAATCGCAACCCAAGTGCTTCAAATTTATATAGGTACATATTAATCGCAGTAATAATGCAGTTCGGAACCACGGGTGGAACGCGTTTTTACGGAGTGTATAGAGTGTATGTTAAGGGTAGGGAGGGTGGATTCAATGCGGAAGAACTTTTTGACAAGTAAAAGTCGAAGAGGCTTGACTGGGAAACCCGTTGTTTCCGGAGTACTTTTGATCGTGCAAGAAACTACGAGATACGAAATTGAGTATCCGATGTGTGTTCCAGGGAAAGATTTTTCGTGCAGTTGAGCACGATGATCGTCGAGAGGACGTGAATCCATTTATAATATGTATTTCGGGAGAACAAGTTTGACCTGTGCGCTTTTTAAATATACTATATAAAACGTGGCTTTATTCGTCGAATAATGAAAAAAAAAAAAAAAAAGGAAAAAGAAAAGAAATGAAAAATGTTTTTAAGTAGAAAGATATTATTAGCAATTCACCGTAGAAGAAAATGAAGAAGAAGAAGGAAAAAAAAAACAAGATAATATTCGAATACCGAACGAGATATATACACAAAGGCCTTACAAATCGAATCACAGTGTAAAGTTTCGACATTCTTACATCCGCGTGACATTTTCTAGCCGTAGCTCCCGTTCTATTTTTGACAGACTTTTTATACGTTTAACCCTGCGATCGCAAATGACGATAATTATAAATATATAGAGTGCCGCTTTACGCGATTACAGGAACGATTATATTATATTATTACGAAATATAGAACACACACAGTAACGAAACGAAAAGACTAAAAACAGAAAAATAAAAAACAAAAAAATAAAAAAAAAATGAAGATGAAGAAGAATGTTAAAATGGAGGAGGAAAAAGATAAAAAAAAAAAGGGAAAATGTTTTTTATAAACGAAAAATCGGATTTATTAACTAAAACAGAACGTTGTTCGCATACTCAGGATAATAATAAGAGGCGCCTTAATTTTTAACCGTTGTAAAAAAAAAATGGAAAAGAAAAAAAAAAGAAAAAATTGATTTCTGGGAATAAAAGGAATATCTTCTCGCGTTATGACGTCATGTATTTTACATAATACATAAGAAAGAGTAAAAGAAGGAAATAGATACTATAATAATGTTTCTCTTCCTCTCCGCGTTGAAATTTTTTCGAAAGAGGCTCGCGTTTCTTTGATTTCGCGATTTTGAACTGGCGCGTGCTTGTGTGCGCATGCGCGAGTCGCTAATGAAAAAAAATGAAAAGGAAAAAAAAAGAAAAAAAAGAAAAGGAAGCATTATATCGGCCACATTTTTATAGTTCTGCTTNTATATATATATATACATACCTCGCAATAGATTTCGCCTTCATAAGACAGTAGCCTTCTCTTCACGCTAAATAATAATAAATAGTGAATCCCCGTTTTATAGCAGCTCTCTGCTTTTTTTTGTTTTTCTACTTTGCTCGTGTGTCCGACCTGTGAGTTCTCTATATCGTGCCAAATCATGAGAGAAGGGAAGGTGAATCGAGAGAAAGAAAAAGAAAGAAAGA